ATATCTGACAAACACTGCAATTACTGCTGACCTTAACAAGAACAGTCTCTATAGAGTGGTGAAAACAAATTTAGCTGGAATGGGCTGAGAGAGAATATGAAAAATACAGAGTAATTATAGACATTTCACTCAGAAAGTTTTGTGAAGCAGAGATGAGAAAATGGGGCAATGTTGGAAAATGGAATAATGTGAAGGAAGGATTGCTTTTGATAGTATATACTACAATATGTTTGTATGCTGACTGAGAACCAGAACTGATGATGCAGAAGAAAAGGAATAATAGCTGGAGATGGATTTTGATAGAAGCAGGAAGCTTTCATTTATTACAGAAGGAAGGAAAGTGGGCACAGATGCAGATAAGCTGGTAAAAGTGGTGGTGGGAAGATGAGAGAGTTCATGTTTGATGACCTGTATTTTCTCAATGAAACATGAGGCAGGATCAGAGGTGGAGAGACAGTAGGCAAAGAAAGAGACAGTAGAAAAGTTTAGAAGACATGTGTCCAGGCAGTGTTTGGAATGTTTTAACATCGGTGGCCATTAAAAGTATTAAGTTATCATTTATCAGTTTGGTTCTGTTTTCTTCCCAAGTGTAGGCACTATGGTTTAACCAATAAAGTGGGACAAAAGGAAGAGAGGGAGGAGGTAAAAGTGTTTCAAAGGGAGTAACTGTAATGCACCAGGGAATCTGAGTAGTTGAGCTGGAAGGGTAGGAGGGGCAGTCAAATTTTGGAGATGATACAGTGTTGTGGACAAAGCATTGGGGAATAAAAGGGAGGAACAAAATGATCACTGGAGTGCTGGGGCTGTAGCTCAGTGRTAGAGCGCTCGCCTGGCAGGTGTGAGGCACTGGGTTTGATCCTCAGCACCACATAAAAGTAAACAAATAAAGGCATGCTGTTCATCTACAACTACCAAAAAAAAAAAAAAAAAATCACTGGAGGTGCAGGAGTAAAGTAACTGAGGCCAAATTATTAGGTGCATTAATCATCCTTGGAGATGCTAATGCCTGAAAATTAAGTTCTTGACTTTCTTCCTCCAGTTACTGGTCAGAAACAAGTCATCTTGATTCTTCACTCAACTATTGTAACCAAATCCTGTTGCTGCCTCCTCCTAAATAAATCTCGGACTGCTTTTCCCCCCTCATCTATTCTTTTACCATAGTTATGGCTAGGCATTCTCTTTTTCCTGGACCATCTCATTAATCAACTGCCGTGCCTGGCTCTATTCTTGATCTGTTCTCATCAATTTGTCATGAAACATACATCTAAAAAAATAAGTTGGGGGAGCTGGGGTTGTGGCTCAGTGGCAGAGCACTTGCCTCACATGTGTGAGGCACTGGGTTTGATCCTCAGCACTACATAAAAATAAACAACAACAACAAAAAGATTATAAGAAATAAATGTCGGGGGCTGGGGATGTGGCTCAAGTGGTAGCGCACTCGCCTGGCATGCTTGCGGCCCGGGTTTGATCCTTAGCACCACATACAAAGAAAGATGTTGGGTCCGCTGAAAACTGAAAAATAAATATTAAAAATTAAAAAAGAAAGAAAGAAATGTCAGGCACTGCAGAGTGGTGCATGCTTGGCTCCAGAGGCTGAGACAGGAGTATTGAGAGATTAAGGCCAGCCTCAGCAAAAAAAAAAAAAAAAAAAAACAAAAACCGAGGTGCTAAACAACTCAGTGTAGATCCTGTCTCTAAATAAGATATAAAAAATAGGGCTGGGGATGTGGCTTAGTGTCAAGTGCCCCTGAGTTCAATCCCCAGTACCCTGCCCTCCACACAAACAATAATAATAATAATAATAATAATAATAATAAGTTGGGCCATGTTACTCCTTGCTTCTATAAAACTGCAGTGGCTTCCCGACTGTAGGGCTCGAGATCAAACTCCAAGGCCCTACAGGAACTGGACTGCTCCTCCAGTCATGGCTTACACTGCTTTCTTCAGTTTTAATAAGTCTTAGGAAGCTGGGCAGTTGCACACTTGGAATCCCAGCAACACAGGAGGCTGAGGCAGGAGGATTGCAAGTTCAAAGCCAGCCTCAGCAACTTAGTGAGAGACTGTCTCAAAATTCAAAAACAGAAAAAGGTTAGGAATGTGGTCCAGCTACATTGAAGCACTCTTCAGTCCAATCTTTGGTATCCCTGCCCCCCAACAATTCACCTAGTACTCTTTAACTCTTCATAGCTGCATCTATTGTATCCATTAGTTCTCAATAAAAACTGTTAGCTTTGTGAGTATTTTGTGTTACACACTAATCTAGCAGCTGTACTTGTATAAACAACTTAGGTCTTTCTATACCCTTTATCACATAGTACATTTTATTTCTTTACAGCATGTAACATAATTTGGCAGTTGTGTCTCCAACCCCTCTAGAATTTAAGCTCTCTAAAGGCAGGAACCTAATTTGTCTGGTTTACTCTATCTTTGGCACCTAGCACATTGTCTGCACCTAGTAGATACTTAATGCACATTTTTAAGTGGATGAATTGTCCCAGAGTATCCCTGCTTAGAAGGGGTGACTTTAGTGTTGAGTTTCTTACCTATTTGAGCCATGCTACTTGAATCCTGCTTTACTTTTTCAGTCTTCACCTCAGAGACTTCTCCTGGGCCTCCTCCAATGGGGCCTCCGCCTCTTTCAAGTAAGGCCCTTGGCCCCCCCTCTGTGGGGAGCTGTCCTGTCTCCAGAGTGGAGCCCACAGGTTTCCGAGTCATTGAGTCTGAGGCTATGATGGAGGATGTGCTGAGACCTTTGGAACAGGCATTGGAAGATTGYCGTGGCCACATGAAGGTAAGCCCTCCAGGGAGTAGGAGATAGCCAGATGCAAGTATGGCTCCCAAAGGTAGACYTTCTGACCCTACAGGCAATGATTCTTAATCCTGTCAGAGTTATGGACCCCTTCAGAATCTGCTAAGACCTTCCCAAGAAAATAAACAGGATTTCAGGAGGGTGCACAAGACTTCTGCAGAACTAGTCAACAGTAGAGTTGTAGGAATGAGTTGAATTAAATTCCCATTAGTGGAAAATAGTAGTTTAATTTTCAGTATCTCCAGGCCATTCAGAGCATACCCTGCTAGTTTTGTACTCAGTGGGGGAGAGGAAATCTCTATCTATGGTGTTTCCTAAGCTCTCTGGAGGTAAGGGATCAAGGAAAGAGGAAGTAACATAGTAATTTCATCTATTTGGCTCTTAAGTCTCTTTTTTTGGTAAATTAACCTTATGAGCTTCTGAGGGTCTGAGAAGACCCCAAATTTTTAAATTCTAGCCACACATGCATGTTTTCTTGGAAGAAGATCCATAGGCCTCAACAGGTTCTCAGTGAGGGCCTCTAACCTTTGGGTAAAGAACCAGATCTCTAAAAGACAAAATGTAAGGTCCTGGGCCAGAGATTAGCAGATGCATTCCTATGATACTGCCTTCCCTTTTCCCCAATGGGCTGGCACCACTTGAGTTGGAGGGCATTTGTCTTTCAGAAGCAGGTATGTGATGACATCAGTCGACGCCTGACACTGCTTCAGGAACAGTGGGCTGGAGGGAAGTTGTCAGTGCCTGTTAAGAAGAGGATGGCACTACTGGTGCAAGGTATGGGTGGCTTCTGGTATAGCCTAAATCTCTTGCCCTGCCATGGTTGGTTAAGCTGGAACAGGTGCTAAGATTTTGAACTCTGGGATGGGAGGCATGAAARCTCTTTTTTAGCACATTCTGCTTGCTCAAGCCCTGTTTCTCCTCAGAGCTTTCAAGCCACCGGTGGGATGTAGCAGATGACATTCACCGCTCCCTCATGGTTGATCATGTGACTGAGGTCAGTCAGTGGATGGTGGGAGTTAAAAGATTAATTGCGGAAAAGAGGAGTCTGTCTTCAGAGGAGGAGGCCAATGAAGAGAAATCTGCAGCAGCTGCTGAGGAGAACCAAACTATACCAGGCTTTCAAGAGGCGCTATAATTCTGGGGATTCCCCAGACTCACCTAGCCTGTTTCTTATGCCTTGGTGTGGAGGCCTTCTCTCACTTGACTCCATTTTACCACCAGGGAGACTGTCCCATTGGAACTGACCCAAGATCCAATCTGGGGTACAGGGAGCTCACTTGTTAACCCATAACATATGCATTTCAATAAAAACATCTCAGTGGTGGGCACTGGGTGGGAAGAGATGAGCCCCTTCATATGTCAAACTGGTCCCCAATACTGTCCTTGACAGCCCACTCCTTGCATACCCTATAACTCCTGTTATCCTTCCTCCACATATCATGCCTAGCTGGGCATGATCAGATTGCTGCTTGCCACTTTTACCAAAATTAGATCAAGAAACTCATTCCTTGTAGCCCCGTCTTTGAAAGAGTTCATTTCAAAATGAGAACAGATTCAAATAGCCTAGCATGTGGATGCTTTTCTTGCAAGGAAAGGAGACTCCCTTATATACCTTCCATCTTTGAGGTATACAGATAGTAGAGATTAGAACCAGTGAGTGGTTTTTGCTATATAGAGAATGAAGGAGATGACCCAAATACTGAGATTTGGGATCATTACTGACTCATCAGGCAAACTGCTACCTCATTTTGGCCTTTAGTGTGGACCTTAAGGTTTCTTGTAAACCTATGTAAACAACAGTGCTGTAAGAAAGGAATGCACAAGGTTTTCAGTATTGGAATGGGGACTGGTACTTACAGGTAGTAGGAGGTAGAAATAGCAAGGAGAGACAAGAGATTTGGCTATAGGCTGTGAAATCACCTCATCCAGAGAGTGCTGCTTAGGAATGGAGAGGGGAGGGCTGTTGGGGAGGCCCAGTTCCAAGAAGACTGCTTCCTGGAAAGACAGGAATATCCCCTGGCAAGGKCCAGGCTATTGCTGTTCATGGTTTGGCGACTCCTACAGTCTGTCCCAGGCTGCTGGAAGTTGGCTCAGGGGGAGCTGGGAACAGACCTGGACCTCTCATAAGCCTGCTAGGGCCCTCAGCTGTGTGGCTAAGATGAGAAGACCACCATTGAGGAGAACACTGGAGCCAAGACTTTTGTTTGAATGTTTACTAAGCAGCCAGAAGGTGACATATTCTGTCTTCCAGTCCTAGCCCTTAGCATAGAGGCCTGGGGGTTGGGAGGAGTACCTAAAGACCAAAGAGAAAGGAGATCTAAGGACTTGGCAAGTAGCCCACTCCTATCCCTGGTCTAGCTGCCCCAGATTTAAAGGAGGTCCACAACCAACAAGTCACTCCTTTCCAGATTAGATGAGGCTAGCTGTCCTTTGGATATCCCAGAAAGAGGTGGTGGCAACAGCGGCATGAGGGATCCCTCTATAACGCCACACGGGGGGATCATCTGCACTGGATTAGAAGTCCATTTCAAATTGTGCGTCATCTGGAGAAAGAAAAAGCAGGGCTAGTTGGTGGCCTGAGGGTCTGTAGGCCTATGGCCAGTGTGGAAACCCCTCTTGGAATTGAACCCCACTCTACTTCACAGAGGCATCTCAACTCAAAGGATGAGGCATTTCCTAATTTTAGATACTGCTTTCCTTACCGGGTATCTCTTCCTCTGTCTCCTTCTGCTCCTTCAGCAACTCCAGTTTGGAGGGTAGGACTGTTGGAGGAGTTGTGACCCCGGGAATCTGAGGGAGGCAGCAGGGGGGTGTCCGGGCAATGGGTGAGTTCTTGCACTCCAGCAGGAACTTTCGGTCGTAGATGATCCTGGTGCCTGTTAAAGGGTAGGGGCTGAGGTTAAGAGTCAGGAACTTGGGCTCAAAGGTGATTAGGATCCCAGGCATCAGCCTTTTGAGGACTGTGTTGGGGGGTGTAAGACTGTCACATTTCCCAGTGTGTAGACTGACTAGGACCTCTACTGACAAGGCTTCATGGCACTGAAAGACTACCAGGCCTAACCAAGATGTGTGTAGACATCATAAAGCAACTGGGCTTTCCAGTTAGTCCAACCAGGGGACTTAGGTTTGGGGGAGTTTCAGGTCTTAGTTCTAAAAAGGAGCACCAAACTATGAGCTCAGGGTCTGCTACTCTTAAGCTTTGACATTTTCTTGGTTTGGTTTACAAGGTGGGATATAGTTGCCCCACAGCTGTGAAGGGGGCACTCATCTCCTGCAAAGAGAAGCTGTGTTCTTCCAGATACTTGCTTTCCTCATGAAAAACAGGGACATATGACCACTCCCAAGTCCTTAAAGTCTCAGCCTTCTAGCTCAAGGGAAATCAGCCAGCATTGTTGACCTCAAAGGGAACTGCCCAGTTCTTGCCCCTCCCCTTTACCCAGGAATTGCTGGGTAGGGAACCCAGCCGCTCAAGTTCTCGGGGCTGCTGGCTCAACCAGCAGCAGGGGAAGCCTGGACTTTTATCTATCACAGCTAAAAGACACAGCCAGCTGCATATACCTGAACCCCTGCCCCTAACAGCTCTAACCAAGATTTGGTGCTTCCTGCTCAGGCCACCTTCTACTGGGACCTAGGGGCCTACTCCCAGGAAGGAAATTTGCTAAAGGTAGGAGCATATGGAAAACCCCCAGAAACAAGGCCAGAGAGAGGAATCTACTCACTGTCACCGAAGATGGGCACAAGGTACTGTTAACAGCACTTTGAGGTTTTGGGGAACTAAGTTTCGGTTCCAAAACCCTCCCTCAAACCTACAACCTGCAGAGGGGCCTGCGGACAAAGACAAATCTACAGCCCACGCCTACCCACCCCCGCCGGCAACAGCACGCACGCGCTGGTTTGCCAGCACTCTGCAGACTCCGACCCGGCCCGCTGACCTCCCGGGGTAGTGGCATATAGAGTGCCCCCCGGCGTAGTGCTGTAGCAGTCGGGCAGCCGTTCCCGGCCCCCCGGAATCGGGCAGCTCGTGGACGTGGACATAGCAGACAGGAGGTGCAGGAAGGCAACCGGGCTGGTGCTGTGGCGCGGAATGCTGCTGAGTCTGAGGCGGACTTGGTTGACCACGTGCGGCCCCAGCAACAACACTAGGACGACGTCACGCCCGGGGCGGGCCACTCGCTGTCACTCAACCCGACGGCGCCGCCTACTCGCTAGAGAGCAACCAGACTCCTTAAAGGTGGGGGAAAGTCTAAGACTCTGCACAAGCCTTCAGATCCACCTGGTGCAACATTTGCCAGCTTTCCTCTCAATACTGCAACAGTTTAGCAGTTTACTGTTTATACCTGGGCTCCTGGGGAGTACAGCTGGCTTATTCCTCTCAAAAGTTTTGGACAGTAAAGCACTATTAATAGCCGTATTTTACAACGAGGCAAATAAGCCCAGGCAGGAAAATCTGTTTCAAAGTAACACATGTTGTTGGAGGGGTCCTAAGTGTATCTCACTTCAAAACCTGGTCCCTTCAACACAGCTGTGTACTGGCCACTAGAAACAATCAATTGAGGCTGTGGGCTTAGCTAAGTGGTAGAGTGATTGATTAGCACGCGAGACCCTTGGTTTGATTCCCAGCACAGGAAATACACGATTGCTATATGGTGTGAAAATGCCTTAATGGCCTTGACCACGGCAAGAGACTTACTTTCTTCAGGGAGCTTTCTGAAATAGTTGTACCTGGGCTAAGGGATGAGTGGGCCCTGAGGGACAGGGGGAGGCTGCAGTTTGAGAAATCAAGAGGGGAGGCCTGGTCTTTTATCTATCACAGCTAACTGAGGATAGGTAGGGGATCTGGTCATTTAGCTCTGTGAAAGGGAAGGTCGGAGGGAGTGTCTAACCTTGGGAGATAGATATATATATTTTTATGTAGGTATAGTGATATAATAGGCCAGAGAGAGGTGGTGGGAGAGTTAAGTACTAAGTCTAGTGTCTATATTATAGACTCTAATTTTAACTTCAATCCAGTTGTCCTGTTTGGCTTCCCCAAAATCAGCACTGTCCTTATTACCCCCCAAAATTAAGTATAGCACCTGACCACATGCACATACTGGTATTACCTCAGCTATGGATTCATTAGAATTTCCCTTAGCTTTAATTCTGTCCCTCATTTAAAAAAAATTATAAATCAGTGCTTCTTAAACTTTAACGTGCATATAAATCACCTGCAGACCTCAATGAGAACTCTGATATACTAGGTCCTGGTGAGATTCTGGATTTTAAATACATTCCCAGGTAATACAGGTGCTGCAGATTCTCAGAATCATATTTCAGACAGCAAGAATATGTATGCTTAATTGTTCCAAACAGTTTTGAAGAAAGCATCTTACAAAGTGGTGCACACCTAAATGATGTACATTAACTGTGATGGAGAGCAAGGCTTGGGAACAAATTATAGAGTCATCTGATAAGTCATCTTTTAAGCAAGGTGATGAAGTAGTCTGTTCAGGGAGGCATGGGATAGAGGACCATGAGATTGAAGGTGGGAAGCCCAACAGTGAAAGCAGTTGGGATAAAGATAAATATATAAGACTCAGATACAAAGAGGAGAAAGAACAAGGTGATTGATTAAGGGTGGGGTGAAGGAAATGGAGATAAGCCAGGGTACTTCCCTATCTTCTGGTTTGACAGCCTTGGTAGCTAGAATGCTAGTATAATAGGGAAAACAAGACAAGGAGCATTGGGGAATGAATATTGTGTGTGGAATGCCCAGGTAAAGCACAACATGGAGCTAAATATATTGGTCTGAAGTTCACAGGGAGAACTCAGGCTAGTGCTTCATATTTGAGTGGAATGAAATCCAAGAGTATGGAAGGAGATAACCTTGGGAGAAGATTCAGTGTAAGACAAGCCCTAAGCACATCAACATTTATTTAAGGAAGAAGGATTCACCAAAACAGAAAGAGCAGTCAGAAACAGATCTGGGAGAAGTTTTCAAGAAGGATCCATGTCTAAAAAATCTCTACTACAAAATAGCAGCAGTAGATATCACTACTATCTGCACTACTGCATGAAGCTAACTTTTTGGAGACACTAGGTGGAATAAGTTTGGAGAACTAGAAAATAGGTTGTTGGCTTTAGAGAGAAAGCCAGATTTATTATCCATGCAACCTGGATAAGGAACAAGAGTTTAAATCAGAGAGTTAATACTCACTAGATATGGAAGTTTAAAAAATACCTATGCCCAGGCCTCCACCACTAGGCAAACTGGCTGAAGTCACACCAATACCATCAAGATGAACTTTCCTAGTATATGCAAGACCCTGCATTAGATCACCAGCACTGTGCAAAGATAAATAAAGGATAAGATAAGTATGCAATAGATGATTTGATTTATGACCTTGTTTTCCATATTAGGTCTTGAAGCCTAGGCTAATTCCCTTTTTATTGGAGGTGATCTTAACACATTTAAAGAGTTTTAAACTTCAAATCACATTTTTCTCACTCCTTTTCTATAGGAAAGAGTGAAGGTGAAGGAACTAGCCTGTTGGAAAATGACAAAGCACTAAAGGTGAATTAAAAGTGCAGCGTTATCAGAGCCCTTCACCCCAGTACAGGGTCCACTGGGAAGACGTCACGACCAGCTATACTTCTCGGTAGAAATTCTTCTTGTTAGTCAGAGAACAAGATGTTCAAAGTTGTTTTCCTGCAGGCTTGTTTGCCTCTTCCTGGGTTTACAATGTGGTCCAAAGGTCTTCAACAGTGGGATACAATCATGTATACCAAATACACCTCTCTGCTTRGCATGAAACTATCATATGACCAGCTTTTCTTCTACAACCTAACTCTAACTAAGATGGTCCCCCTTGTGCCCTAGTTTTGAGATCAGCAGGAGGATTTGGCCATAATCTACACGAAAAGATGGAAACTGAAGTTCCAAGTCCTAAAATTTCTTACCTCTGGTTAGGAGAGGGCACCATTGGCTGTCCAACTCTCTTCTTTGGTCTGGTTAGATGAGGTGATGGGATTTCCCCCTTGAGAGCAGGGACTGAAGAAAGCAGACTGGCCTATAAAAGGGCAAGTCAGCACACTGTAGCCACAATAGATTTAAGGGGTCTTACAACATCAATAATTTTATTGATGGTGGAATTTTGTTAACACTGAATACTATTTGAAATAAGAGAGTCTGGAAACCTTAATGATATATTTTATTCCTTGAAAGAGCTGTTACTCTCATGCAGTTTGACCTGTATTTTAGCAGGATGTTTCTTAATGACTTGAAGGACTACTATGGATGTGCAAGGTTTTCTTCTACCTTCAYTAAAATCTCCAAAATCAATACTCATCCCCAGAATAGCAGGCTTTTTTCCCCCACCTCAGAGCCAAACCTCAGTACTATAAACATTTTAATGGTTTCCAGTATTCGCAGACCATATAATCTCATTCACAAGAAAAAGGAGAAAATTTATGTTAGAACTAGAGGACTCTTTTGAGTTTCATTTAAGTTTAGTTTCATTTTCAGATGATGAAAGCGAAGCCCAGAAAGGTGAAATGACATGCCTAAAGTCTTAGTGCTTCAAGTGGCAGAAATGAAAATAGAATTTAGGCTTCTGACTCTTGTTCTACCATACCCATACTGCTTCCCCCCATATCCCTTGTATATTTTGAAAGTAATCAAGTTCTTACCTGAGCTAGGTTTTATCCAATGTTCAGGTTGGTAAATAGCAGTAAAGGAATGCCAGGAAGAGGCAGGCAGAGGAAGAAGAGATTATAGCAGGCGAAATGGGATTGGGAGCTGGCTACCAGGATCCAAATAGAAAGAAAGGAAGGCAGGGCTGATAAAAGAGTAGTAGTTCCTAAGGAACTACATTCACTGTACAACTCCTGTTTCTTCCTAATTCTTCTAGGGTTTTCTCCCTCCTTTTCTCTTTATGGGTTCTAATTCCCGAATAGAGATAACATTTCTCCTTTTGTTGTTTTCTAGGTGCAGATTTAAGGGTTCTTCCAGACAATTCAAATATATTATAGTTACAATAGAACCAAACTCACCTTTTTGTCCCACTGAATAATTTACTTAATATTATCTCTCACTAGTATATATTTCATCAAGAGTAGTTTCATGGGCTGGGGTTGTAAATCAGTGGCAGAGCGCTTGCCTAGCATGTTTGAGGCACTGGGTTCGATTCTCAGCACCACATAAAAAAATAATAAAGATATTGTGTCCATTATAACCAAAAATATTTAAGAAAAGAGTAGTTTCATTCACTTCATTGTTTTAGGTGATTAATTTTGTTATTGATAAGTGGAAAGTGCAAGATATGTAGGTGATCCAAGGGGTCTCCCCCTCCCTCCAGGATCAGGGGGCCTCCTGATAATATTTAATGTGATTATCAACTACTACAAAAGCAGTAACTATGATACAAGTGATAACTTTCAAAATTCATTAAAAAAGAAGTAAGGGTTGGGGTTGGGGCTCAGTGGTACAGCATTTGCCTATCATGTGTGAGCCACTGGGTTCTATTCTTAGCACCACATATAAATAAATGAATAAAACAAAATGTCTGTTGACAACTAATACACACACACACACACACACACACAGAAATAACTTTAGTAATCATTCTCTTACATAAGATGAAATGGAAGACAAAAGAACAGGTTATGTCTAACACGGAACAAACATGGTATATCTGACCTGGTGCTGGCTTTAGGACCTAGGCAGTGATTAAGAATTCCTATTATGAGAGTAGAAAGGTGCTGCTTGTATAGTTTGCTCCTAGTTACTCCTTTTTTGTGTGCATTCTCTCTCTCTTGCTTTATCTATCCACCCCAAACATTTTCTTATTTTCTTTTTTATAATGCTTATACATAAGACAAGAGATTCAACTACATTAAAACACAAACAGATTGATGACTATACTTTTCAGTGAGATCMTTTTTCCTTCTCTATTGCATCAGATTCTTGGCATAACTTTTGGTTTGCCCAACCCATTCCAGTGTTTCTGTGTTTAGTTTGTTAAACATACTGACTTTTCATACTTGGGTCCATGGAACTAAGCTCAGAACAAGTCACATATTTATAAACATTACTTAGTTGATTCAACAATACAACAAAGTAACAGGAGTTGTCGAAACCCAAATAAAATTAAAACACCCATAACCAATTACATCTTTTAGATTAAAAAAAGTCAGGAAGCACAAAAGGAACCTGAAGTTGACGATTTGGGTGTGATTTGTTCATTGTTAACTGATTTAAATCCCAAAGTTCCTATTTCCAAACTCATGATCTATAAAAAAGAGTGAAACTTTATCAGTGGCCTATGTGCTAAAGTCAGACAAGATGCAGTGCCAGGGTTTGAACTTTCTCACATGTAAAATGATGTGGAAGACAACAAGGGAACAGGAATATTAAACACAATAAACAGATAACAAGTCTTAACAGTGCTTTTTCAAGGGAGTGTATAATGTGAGAAACATGGTACATAACATTAACAATCTGGTTCAGTATGATTGTGGATTGGGCAGTACCTCCATGACCACTGAAAGGATCACACCCCACTTCTAAACACTGTTCATCTTTTTATTGAATATTCTGGTAAATATTTCACATTAATACAGGCTACATTTAGTAGAGCCATTATATGACAAGAAATTTACTCAACTTTTTCCTTTCCAGTATGTAAACAATTATACATGTATTTACCACCCTAAAAGGTTGAAACATGTAATCATCTAATTCTCTTCTGCATATAAGTAGCATTCGGTATGTTTAGCCAAAAGCACTAAGTTCATCTGATCTTAAGTTGAAAATGGCTAAACTAACCAGAGAACATAATCAGGTGGATAGGAAATCAATTTGTTCTTAAACAATGGGAAATCAAATTTCCATTGCTAAAGCCTCAGAGAAA